AAAAATGCCTGAAAATTGCAAAAATTGCAAAAATTCCTGAAAATTGCAAAAATCGCAAAAATGCCTGAAAATTGCAAAAATCGCAAAAATGCCTGAAAATTACAAAAATCGTAAAAATTCCTGAAAATTGCAAAAATCGCAAAAATGCCTGAAAATGCAAAAATCGCAAAAATGCCTGAAAATTGCAAAAATCGTAAAAATTCCTGAAAATTGCAAAAATCGCAAAAATGCCTGAAACTTGCAGAAATTTCAAAAACTCCTGAAAATTGCAAAAATCGCAAAAATTCCTGAAAATTGTGAAAATCGCAAAAATGCCTGAAAATTGCAAAAATCGCAAAAATGCCTGAAAATTGCAAAAAATCGTGAAAATTCCTGAGAGATTGCAATTATCGCAAAATTGCCTGAAAGTTGCAGAAATTTCAAAGACTCCTCAAAATCACAAAAATAGCAAAAATTCCTGAAAATTGTGAAAATTGCAAAAAATGCCTGAAAATATCAAAAATTGCAAAAATGCCTGAAAATTGCAAAAATTGCAAAAATGCCTGAAAATGCTAAAATCGCAAAAATGTCTGAAAATTGAACAAAATCGCAAAAATGCCCTGAACATTGCAAAAAATCGCAAAAAATGCCTGAAAATTACAAAAATCGTGAAAATTCCTGAAAGATTGCAAAAATTCCTGAATATTGAAAAAATCGCAAAAATTCATCAAAATTGCAAAAATCGCAAAAATGCCTGAAAATTACAAAAATCGTAAAAATTCCTGAAAATTGCAAAAATCGCAAAAATGCCTGAAAATGCAAAAATCGCAAAAATGCCTGAAAATTGCAAAAATCGCAAAAATGCCTGAAAATTGCAAAAATCGCAAAAATAGCAGAAATAGCAAAAATTGCAAAAATTCCTGAAAATTAGAAAAAAATTGCAAAAATCGTGAAAATTCCTGAAGATTGCAAAAATCGCAAAAATACCTGAAAGTTGCAGAAATTTCAAAAACTCCTTAAAATTGCAAAAATCGTAAAAATTTCCTGAAAATTGTGAAAATTGCAAAAATTCCTGAAAGTTGCAAATATTGCAAAAAATTCCTGAAAAATCGGAAAAATTGCAAAAATTGCAAAAATTTCTGTAAATTGCAAAAATTCCTGAAAATTGCAAAATTCCTGAAAATTGGAAAAATTCCTGAAAATTGCAAAAATTCCTGAAAATTGTGAAAATTGCAAAAATTCATGAAAATTGCAAAAATTGCAAAAATTCCTGAAAAATGCAAAAATCGCAAAAACTGCCTGATAATTGCAAAAATCGCAAAAATGCCTGAAAATTACGAAAATCGCAAAAATGCCTGAAAATTGCAAAAATTGCAAAAATGCCTGAAAATGCAGAACTCGCAAAAATACCTGAAAATTGCAAAAATTGCACAAACAATTCCTGAAAATAGCAGAAACTGCAAAAATTCCTAAATATTGCAAAAATTGCAAAAATTCCTGAAAATTGAAAAAATCGCAAAAATTCATGAAAATTGCAAAATCGCAAAATTGCCTGAAAATTACAAAAATCGTAAAATTCCTGAACAATTGCAAGAATCGCAAAAATGCCTGAAAATTGCAAAACTCGCGAAAAATAGCAAAAATAGCAAAAATTCCTGAAAATTAGAAAAAATTGCAAAAATCGTGAAAATTCCTGAAGATTGCAAAAATCGCAAAAAAGGCTGAAAGTTGCAGAAATTTCAAAAACTCCTGAAAATTGCAAAAATCGCAAAAATTCCTGAAAATTGCAAAAATTCCTGAAAGTTGCAAAAATTGCAAAAATTTCTGGAAATTGCAAAAATTCCTGAAAATTGCAAAAATTCCTGAAAATTGCAAAAATTCCTGAAAATGTGAAAATTGCAAAAATTCCTGAAAATTGCAAAAATTGCAAAAATTCCAGAAAATGCAAAAATCGCAAAAATGCCTGAAAATTGCAAAAATCGCAAAAATGCCTGAAAATTACAAAAATCGCAAAAATGCCTGAAAATTGCAAAAATTGCAAAAATGCCTGAAAATGCAAAAATCTCAAAAATGCCTGAAAATTGCAAAAATCGCAAAAATGCCTGAAAATTGCAAAAATCGCAAAAATGCCTGAAAATTGCAAAAATCGGTGAAAATTCCTGAAAATTGCAAAAATCGCAAAAATGCCTGAAAATTGCAAAAATTGCAAAAATTCCTGAAAATAGCAGAAATTGCAAAAATTCCTAAATATTGCAAAAATTGTAAAAATTCCTGAAAATTGCATAATTTCCTGTGTTGCAGAAATTGCAAAAATTCCTGAAAACTGGAAAAATTACCAAAATATTTTGGATATTGCAAGAATTGAAAGAATGCCTGAACATTGCAAAAATCGTAAAAATTCCTGAAAATTGCAAAAATCGCAAAAATTCCTGAAAATTGCAAAAATTTCAAAAACTCCTGAAAATTGCAAAACTCGCAAAAATTCCTGAAAATTGTGAAAATTGCAAAAATTCCTGAAAGTTGCAAAAATTGCAAAAATTCCTGAAAATCGGAAAATTGCAAAAATTGCAAAAATTTCTGGAAATTGCAAAAATTCCAAAAATTTCTGGAAATTGCGAAAATTTCTGAAAATTGCAAAAATTTCAAAAATTGCTAAAATTCCTGAAAATTGGAAAAATTCCTGAAAATTGCAAAAATTTCTGAAAATTGCAAATACCTGCTATAATTCCTGAAAATAGCGAAAATTACTGAAAATTGCAAAAATCGCAAGAATTCCCTAAAATTGCAGAGATAGTAAAAATGCAAAAATTCCTGAATATTAGAAAAATTTCTGAAAATTGCAATTTTGTATTTGTATTTTCAATCATGTATTCTTGTAATATAATTCATCTATTTCTGCACTTTAGCGATTGAGGGTGAATATTATCTTTATTTTCAAGCACTATGGCTATTGTAATTATGACTTGCCGTACATGTAATTCACATAACATGGTCACAATAAACTACTCTACTCTACTCTACCTCATTGCGGTTGGAAAATTTTCAAATGAACACCGGGTATGTACCCTATACTAGTATCCGGCCTAATATTATCATGCGAAATATTCATCATAATGTTGAAAAAAAATTTAATTTTATTACTCCACACTCATATTCCATTTCGGCCTATGCATATTTTTACGGAATACTGATGTATATTGCCTAAAGCACAACTTGTAAGCTGTGCCTGTGGGACTTATTCGGAGAATTCATTATTTTTTATATTTTACGCTAGAATGAGTTGGAGTGAGACACTAGACGACTTCCTTCGTTATCGGGCCCCGCCTCCTTCGGACAGGATTTTTACTTCCCCCTTTACACCTTAGATTTAGTTTGACCTTTTTCAGAGGGTAAACCCCTCCTTAAGCAATTGTTCCTCTTAAGGCAATAGACATAGTTTCTCAAAAAAATGTATTTTACAAAAAAAAACATGATTGATGCTGCGGTTACCATATAATTCGCACTGTAGAAAACACTTCATCAGTTTGGGCATTCTGACAATGAGGCGTTGGATCCAGTGCTGGGTCCAACGAGGAAATGCAATAAAAAAAAACTTGTTGTACACTATTTACACTCTGGTTATAAACTTAATTTGATTTGATACGGCACAGTGCGAGAGCGGCGATTGAGTTGATAATTTGCTGTTTTCAAATCAGTTAGTTAGGAAGTTCGATAATTTTACGTCGACGAAAAAATTCAATATACACCTCGGCGAGAAACTGTCTATTGTCCCGCCTGCATGCTAGAGCCTCGGCTATCATTTTGCAGACTCGACTATAATAGACAGTTTTTCATCCTTGGTACATAATAGTAGATTGTTTTATTAGGATCAATAGTGACACTTTGTTTGACAAGCGAATTTTGCATTTACGAGGCGAAGCGTTTAACGAAGCCGAGCGAAAGCAAAATTTCCGAGTCAAACAAAGTCACTTTTGATCCGATTGAAACATGCTATTTTTTCTGCAACCGAAACAATTAACTCAAATGAATATGTGAAGTAACCACCAATACCGTGCCATATGTATGCAATGCAACAAATAATCCTTGTGGTGATATTATTCTACCTGCATTACAGCAGGTATATTCAATTTTCAAGGATGTTCGAATTGTAGTTTCAATATAAATACAACCACAGAGTGACATATTTGTGTATGGACCAGGTGCTCTAATGGCAATTACCGCGCCAGTGCCAGGTATAGGAATAAGACGTGGAAAATGTTAGGTTAGTGAGCATATCAACATTAATAATTGCGATTATTTATTTCTCTCCATACTCCACTGTGTTTGACTTCATAATCAGATGTAGGTAAACAATATCGTTGTTTACAAAAACTATTGCTGGCCGTGATTATTCAAAATCAAGTTATCCATCCCGAGAATAACGAATGAAATACATATGAAGCAAGTATGTGAATCTTGAAGGCTTTCCTGATCAAAACAAAAATACTCAACTATGCCCTTGATTCTATACACTAGTGTCAATAATCAAAGACTATACTAAGGTGTATTTATATCTCCAGCATGAGTATGAAATGCCAAATCTGTCGAAATCGGAAACAAATCAGGTATGCGTCCCAACCCAAATAACCAACCATAACAATGTTGTTGATTCTTGATGACCTCTAGTACATCCTTTATAGTTCCTAGGAGCTTAAGTTCCATTTTAGCTCCTAGGAACTAAAGTTCAACTTCAACTCCTAGGAACTAAATGTGTTGCCTAGCAACATACCGATTTTTGTGTCAGTAATAGAAACGTCATAACAAGAGCTGATTTTGGTATCAAAATGGACAACTTTTGTGTCGGTTGCAGAAAAATAATTATTATTGATTCCATGATAATTTGTCAAATAGAAAAAAGTTCAGTCTCTTCAATACTCACCCTTGCCAAGAACTCCAAAAACCGACAAGACAACTTCCTCAAAGAGATGGAATAAGGGTTGACGATATACCCCGACACACTTTTAGCAATAAACCCGATCTTCTCATCCAGCGTAGTCTTCCTCTCCCCCAATTTCCCCTTGTGCTTGAGCAGCAACAAGAGCAGCACCAAGTGCAACCGGATGCACTCGATTCCCTCCAAAGCGGGTCCGCCGTCCCAGTTCAGCTCCTGCTCCATCAAAGTCTGCAGATGGAATTTGTCCTTGAGGAAGATTGAGATGTAGCTGGAGGTCATCGTTTCCTGCAGCAACAGAGCATCCAGCAGCATCTCGAAGATGACCACAGAGTCGTCTTCGATTTTGGAGAGATGTCTCTGGAGGACTTCCACGAATATCGAGCAGCAGGTTTTCGTGATGGAGGGTTTCTTCGAAGGGGTCGGCGTACTTCCACTGCTGGTAGAGGGGGAAGGTGCAGTTTATGATGTACCACAGACCGGCGTACTGTATTTCGCGGTGGTAAATATTTTTCTGGAAATGAATAAATAACTATTGAGAAAACTTTATAGGAAGGGTGGGATCATCACACAAACACACACCCTCACACTCTTCTTTATTTATTTATTTATTACAACTTTGGGATACAAACAGGTTCAAAACCCAAAAAAGTATCCGCTGATACAATATTTTACATGACAGCTCGTATTATAATGAAGTGAGTCAAAAAATATGATAGTTAAAGTGAAATTTGAAATGTTGAACAATTTTGGAATTTTAGGTGAGAAATATTTTTTTAGCTCTTTGTTTGAAAGTGAATAAAGATATACAGTAAATATCAATACTACAATATTTGTTAAAACTACTACTTAACCTAATAATTGGAGAATTACGGCCTAAATTTGTATTTCGATAATCTATATTGAGAAAGAAATTATTGCGAGTATTCCTAGGAGGAATATGTATAGAGAAAAATGATAATAATGTTGGACAGTCATAATGATTCCTTAAAACCTTGAACGTGAAGACTAAGTCAGTGATTATTCTTCGTTTTTCTAGTTCCAAAATACCAAACGACTGCCGAACTAGATGATATTTTCAATGTTATAGGTTCCATTTATTTTAAAATTCAGAAATCTTACGAATCTATTTTGTACTTTTTCGATCCGTAGTTTATATACGGTATATCCTGGATTCCAAATCACACTTGCGAAATTTAACTTGCTGTAAACAAATGCAAAGTAAAGAGATTTCAATGATTTCTGAGTTTTAAAAACTTTTACAAATTCGAGTGAGGAAGCCCAACATTTTATTACATTTACTTATTATATAATCGTAATGTTTGTTGAAATTCATTTTTGGAATCTAAAATAAGCCTAGATCTTTGATTTCCCTCCACTCTCTTCAAAATAGTACCTGACATATTATAACTGAATTCAAAGTTCTTGACGTTTTTTGTGAATGAGATAATGAAACATTTATTTATGTTCAAGAATAGTCTATTCTTTTCGCAATATTGTGAGAACCTCAGAAGATCAGAATTTAGTTTTGCACAGTCCTCACGAGACTCAATTTTAGAATATATTTTTAGATCGTCTGCGTAAAGTAAGAATTTAGAATTTACGAAACACTTTTTCACGTCATTAATGAAGATCAGGAATAGCAGAGGACCTAAGTGTGAGCCTTGTGGCACTCCTGAGGTCACTGTGAAAGCTCTTTCATACCATCACAATATGTCTTAAGCCATTCCTTGTGCGAATTATTTATTTATTTATTTATTCAGTATCTTAGGTACATAGTTAACATTTCTCATATTCATTATAATAGTTTGTGTTATTACCTAATTATACTAAATTTCATCAGCACAATGGATTTTGAAATCTGTGTGTGCTGATTATTAATCAACCTCATTTAACGAAACTATAGATACTTGGATACTTTTAGTTATACACCATAATGTACCTAATAATATCAATAACTCTCAATAGTACTTGCAAACAATGTATAAATAGTCTGATCATTTCAGTTAAGAGTTTACAATAGGTAGGTATATTGGTTTTCAATTATCCAGTCATGGATTTGCTTTTTAACCTTTTTATATGGTCGACTTCTTAGTGAGTTGGGTAGTGCATTATATACTCTAGTGCCAATAAAACTAATATGTCTCTTAGCGGATACATGTCTCACAGAACTTAATCCTAAGTTATTATTTATCGCACTTCTAGTATTCAATGTATGTCCTATTTTAGTCTTGTAGTCTTGATTGGTTAACATGAATCTTATAATATTTTTTACATATAATTGGTGAAAATTTAGTAGTTTGCTTTCGTGAAAGAGTAGGTTGCTAGGGTATGTTTTATTTTTGAACTTCATTACTTTAATAATGTACTTTTGAGCTACCCATAAGACTCGACATATTAGTTCTGCATGCACTTCCCCACACAATGATGCCATAATTTAATATTGATTCTACCAAGGAATAATAAACCATTTTACATATGTTATAAGGTAGAATGTTCCTTAGTTCATAAAATTTATAAATTACCTTCCTTATTTTCGTTGTAGTATATTCTATATGTTTTTTCCAATCTAACTTTTCATCAATATAAATGCCTAAATACTTTATATTCTGTACTCTTTCTATTTCACAACAGTCACAGTTTCCTGTTCCTTCAGTATTAGTACAATCTGATTTATGAACCTTTATGGTTTTGCATTCTGGTAAGGCCTTCTTAGTTAGGGCAAAAGTGATAAACTTGGTTTTGTTAACATTTAGTGAAAGCAGGCTACAGTCTAGCCAAGCTTTTATTTTAGAAATGGAGAATTCTGCCTTTATGATAGCTGATCTCCAGGAATTACTAACAGAAAAAACCACAGTATCATCTGCAAAACAGAAGACACTATCCTCATCATCCAGTATAGATAAAATACCATTGACATAGACACTAAACAAAAAAGGACCAAGTACTGTACCCTGTGGCACACCATACTCCGTCGGAAGAGACTGACTCAGATAATTTCCAATTCTTACTTTTTGGTTTCTTCCACTCAAAAAGGATTTTATTAATTGGTTAGCAATTCCTCTGATACCCATATCGTCAAGTCTTTCCAGCAGTATATGGTGCGCCACAGTGTCAAACGCCTTAGCCAAATCCAAAAACATTCCTATCACTTTTTTTCCCTCGTCAAGACTTTTCAGGATTATAATAATATATTGATATTATGAAAATGACATATTTCTCGGGCCACTGAAGGAATAGATAGGCGATAGAAAATAAGCGTGCTCCACCTATCGGGGTTTTCGAAAGTTGTCAAAGCGGTCTGTTCAATGTGCTTTCATTGGTATACATTTTTTTTGTTTATGCTTATTGGTCAATCCTCCAAAACAAACCGCTCAGACGTGTTCAAGTTGTTGCCGACCGAAAAAAAAAACGTGACTTATTTACTCACTCTCTTAGTAAACCAACCAAAATATATTACTTCAAGCAAACACCAAAACTATTGGACAAAGATGTTATGTTTCTCTTGCTCCTAGGCTATTCAATGAAATTCCAATTGAAAGAAGAATCTCAACACATTATCCCTATTCAAGCAAAAAGCCAAGAAGAGGATTGAATCAGGACAAAGTTGCGCAATTTTATGACAAAATATTACGAAATTCCGATTTGAAAACTTCCGAATACTTTCAAAGATGAAGGATAAAGATATCTGTACAACATTATACTGGCTGATTCACGATCGAAGGTACATTAGACGTTTCTGGAGAATGTAACTTGGGAATATTCTGAAAATTTGGTGCCTTGGATAATTAGTTGTGCTTTATCGACCTGAAATATTCTCAGCGCTGCGACGTTGCCACTTATATTGAAAAGTAGCAACAACTTCGATTTTTTGAATGGGACACCCTGTATAATATTCCATTTTCATATTCTTCCTGAAGAGCTGATTTCATTGACCCATAACACTTGGGGTCTAGCAGTGACAATTAATGAGATATAGGGTGTGAAAAAATGAGATTTTTCAACTTTTTTTGTGTCGAAACTAATCATAATTGGTCCAAACGGTTTCCATATCCCTATCTCAACTTCTTATTTGGTGGTTGAAAATCCTAATTCTGAACCACCCTGTACCTGACTAATAATGAATAAGTTGAAAAATCTCGATTTCTCACACCCTATATCTTTGTTATCATTTACGCTAGACCCCAAGTGTAATAGATCGATGAAATCAGCTCTTTAGGAAGAATCTGAAAATGGAATAATATATAGGGAGTCCCATTCAAAAATTCAAAGATGTTGCCATTTTTCAATACAAGCGACAGCGTCGCAGTGTTAGAATATTTTAGGTGGATAAAACACAACTAATTATCTAAGGAACCAAATTTTCAGTATAATCCTACGTTGCGTTCTCCAGAAACGTCCAATGTGCCATCCACCGTGAATCAGCCTGTATATTCATTTGATTGAAGACAACATGCCTGTTTTTCATACTTGTACAGGGTGGCTGGAATTCAAGCCCCGAAATTTCGTCTTGACATTTGAAACATTCAGAATCCAAAGAAGAAGAAGAGAACCAAATATTCGCGATTTCTTTTTATTTTTTTATGACTATTCGGATGTAACAATACACATTCTCATTGCAACTTTTTCTGTTCTAGAAAATGGTGCTATCCGATTTTCATTTCGACGTTTCATCTTTGGCCCCAGATTTTTTATTATGGATTTTAAGAGCTTTTGATCTCCTAAAACTAACGGGCTATGGCACTTATTCGAAAAATTCATATTAATGGCATTTTCCATAGGAACCCATGTGTTAGAGAGAGACAATGAATAGATTTTTAACAGGATTAAAAGCAAACAACTTTTTCGAATAAGTGCGATTTTAGGATATTGAAAGCTCCTCAAATCTATAATACAATTCCAGGGCTGTATTTAAAAAAAGTAGTTTTGTTACATCTACTCAAATAGTCTAAAAAATAAAAAAATAAAAAAGAAATCGCGAATATTCGGTTTTTTCCTAAAACCTTCGGAAGTATTCGGAATTTTTCAAATTTCGAAACGGCAATTTGTTAGGCACGAAATTGCGCAACTTTGTCTCCATTTAACCGATCTCGTACCTCTTTTACTTTCCGAGATCCCAATGATGAGGCTGGAATAGGCGAGTGGACTAATTTTTTTTATTACTCAAATTGTATCATCATTCACAAATACCTTTCAATTTCATATTTTATAAGGATTATAGGGCATTTTTAGGTGCTAAAATCGTTAATAATGCCACGGTAATTTTCAAACGGCTAGAAATTTACCGCCACTAAAAACTGACGCCAAGATTTCGTAAGTAGTGGCAGACCCTAGCACAGTTGCCATGTGTTGAAATACGATTGGGAACTTCAGAAATATTAGGTATTCAATAATTCATAAATTCTCAATTGCGTATTGGTAATATTCCTAATTAGCAATACAATTTCAATTGTCTCTAAATGTTTCCTCATGATTTGTGGCTTATTGCTTATAATGAATTTGTGTAAATAATAATTATATTGATTCACACTAGAGGACATTTGAATCGGTGACAACCCCGCGCACGACTTGTGGGCGTGGTCTTGTCAGTTTTCAGCATTCAGCACAATGTTGCCAATTCTCCAACATTCACATGATAATTTATTATTATTATAATGTCATGAGTTTCTCCTATTATGTTTTATTCAACGACAGGGCTCAAACATCTTTTTGTTAACTTGATTATAATTGGTGACTTGACAACCTTGCTTCATGAGTGGAAATGGAAGATTATCTGACCAATAACGAAACAGCATAAAAACTGACGTCCCCATTTATTCGACTTATCGCCAAATGGAGGCCATACGTTACGTTTGAAATGAGCTCTGAAATTCAACGATCTTGAAAAACGCATAGACTCATTATTTACATAAACAAAGCGTGAGATGTGTTGCAAAATAGTATATTATGTAACAAGTGTTATAAACGTCCTTTTAGTAACGAGTAGTTTAAGCACGAGCGGAGCAGAGCGGAGCGAGTGTTTAATAAACGAGTGTCTAGAAGAGTTTATGAACGCGTTACATACTATGATTTTTCTACGAACTCCGAAAATTACATTAACATACCTGCAATCCCTGCTAACCTACAAAATAATTCGAAAGGAATGGGAATTGAGAACATAATAAATACAACTGATGCATGCAACCAGCGAGACACGTATAAGTGATATTGGTTGTAGATGTGTCCAGTCCATTGCTTACTAACCTTTGTTTCACGTTTATTGTCATGCTTAGCGCAGAATGAATAAATTGTTCTCAAAGATGGATGCTTCATTTTTACACTTCTTGAAAATATGCAAGTACCAAAACATTCTCTTCGATTTCACTTTCGTCTACTTTTCGCATATATTTTTTATGAAGAATTCCGATACAAACGAATATTGTTTGAATAATTCTAATACAAAATTCGAAAATAACAGTTGACAGTTAATACAATTGACAGGCCAGACACGTCTCAAATTACTGAAGCTGTGTTTAATGAACTGCGTTGCCATGGTAATGTGTTTAAGAAATCGTGTTGCCATGGTAACGTGTTTAATATTTTGAATAAATCACAGATCCACAATCCGTGATTAATCGATCATTTAGCGTGGTACATATCCGTACGCTAAATGCCATATTAGTTATGTTAGTAGAAAAATTAATTTATCTACTCACTGAGTCGATAATAGGCGTTTGCTCCCTTATTTGAGGAAACAAAGTTATCAATTTACTCCCACGGAAGGAAAAATTATTAACTCCCGTGAGAGGTAAAATAAATATGCATGCATCCTTTGGCGTCGATATACATAAAATCTTTGCAATCCAAGAAATCAGTATCTTTATCACTATTATGAGACAAATAACAATAATATCCTTTTTGAATTCCAATGATATCATATGCTTCTTCATATTCCGAACGTACTTCTTATCAAAACTTTCAAATGCAGTTACACAATATACAAATCAATTAATTCATGATGACAGAAGTGTCACATTGACTTTTGTTCAAATGCCGTCAACTGTCCATGGCATACTATACCTTTGTAATGCATAATGATGGATTGATATAGACCGCCTGAAGCACAGCACATCACAAAGAATGATGTTTTGAAAAATACGTTCGTTGATAAAATCATATATATATATATATATATATCATGGGAGCAGAGGTACATTTCCTCCCATGTGTTTTTATTTTCCTCCGCTACGCGTCGTGCATCAAACTTCACACGCGGGAGGGAATGGATATCATTCCTCCCTTGATATATATAAATGGCTATAAGGTTTCTAACGACACAGTGGAGTAATTGAATCCCAATAATTCATTATCAGTCCACTCACCCATTCCAGCCGCCCTGTACCTAGGATTCATGAATCATAGATATCGCGATTAGATCTAAGAATTACGTCACACTTTTCCATCTGCTCCCGAAACTCACCTGAACCATGAACTCGATCAGTTCCAGATACTGCACAAGCAAACAATGAGTATCCTTCCCCTCCTCCTCCTTCAGCAACCTGAACAGCAAACTCCCGTTCAGCATCTGATCGAAGAGTACGTGGTTGTACGCCTTCTCATAGCTGACCACCACGGGAAACATCCTCTTCCTATGCACAGGCGTAAACACCTCCGAGAAATCCAGCAGCTCTCCTCGGATCAGGGTGCAGTTCACTTCGAAGTACAACCTGATGAAGTCGAAGTTTTTAGAAGGTCCTTCCACGAACTGAGTGGGCACTATCTCCAGCCTTTGCACCAGGGACTTGAGAGCCGGGTCCTTCAATCAATCAATCGTTTAGTGGTATTATTATAGAGAAAATTTATTTAGACAAGGCAAATATCATGCATACAGAAAATAGAAAAATATATTTTTCATGCAGACGTAGCTATTTTATTCAGGTGAAATGACAACCTTCGATGGTATTTCAATCTACATCTTCTTCTTCGTATATTCAGGGTCTTCCTTAAAGGCATGCTAATATTCAAGGGGGTGATTCTTTGACTCATTTCGAAAAGAAAACTTCATATGAACGTATGTCCTAAAAGCCTTAACTTTTGAGATACAGGGTGATGAAGTTTTGAAAAATATTCAGTTTCTTGATAATAACTGAGACAATATTGTATACATCTTCATAAAATTTGGTACACGTCTTTTATGCATCAAGGTGCATTTTATGATGTACACAAATTTTCATTATTTATATTTTACTTAAAAGTGAGCAAGGACGGAACATTTTCAAATTTCGTACAATGCTATGAAAGGCTATTCAACTATGTACAAAAAAAATCCTCTCATTGATACTCGATAGAACGCTTCGTTTCAAAGAAAAATCGGAAAAACGAGACCAGACTTCAAATTTTGATGTATGAGTACTCTATTCAGGACATCCATTACTGGATAACCACAGTATGTAACATGTTGAAATTTTCATACCGATTCAGTCACATAGCAGACTGAATTTTGCCATCACGAAAAGATACAGAGTGGACAAAAAAATAACCACCGAAGATCTACTGGAGATCTACTTGCCTACGTCACCCATTTATGGCAAGCTTCATTAGAAAAACACGGGGAATCCCTAGCTGTCGCGTTGGACATATCGAAAGCATTCGAAGGACTCCTCCACAAACTACCATCATACGGCTTACCACCTCAGCTATGCCATCCCTTATTGAGTTTTCTTTCAGGCAGATCGCTTCATGTGGTGGTGGACGGTGTATCGCCTGATACCATTGGCATCAATTCCGGAGTTCCACAAGGATCAATTTTGGCACCAACATTATTCCTTCTTCATATCAATGATCTGGGAGTAACAACTTGCCCCATCCACAGCTTTGCAGATGATAGAACCCTCCATAATGCGTTCTCTTCCAGAATTCCCATTTCTTCCCAGGAAACTAAGAACTCACGGCGCAGGCAGGTCAATGCTGTCAATGAAGATCTTGCTGAAATTACACCATCCCCACCAAGCCCACCATATCTATGCTCGGTATTTCCATCAGCAACACTCTTTCATGGGATAATCATGTCAGATCCATCGCAAAAGCTGCTCCACAAAAACTCGTATTCTTGTTCCGTGCGAAATGCTACTTTACACCCCAACAGCTTCTCATGATCTACAAAGCGCAGATACGACCTGTTCTAGAATACTGTTCCCACATATGGGGTTCAGCACCAAAACATACGCTGATGCTCTTAGATTCCATCCAGAGAAGAGCCATTCGCCTGGTGGGTGACGCCACACTCACTCACTCTTTGACATCATTGGAACACCGTAGAAAGGTCGGCGACCTTTCACTTTTCTATCGATACTTCCACGGGAAAATCTTTGCTATCATCCCTTAACTAGCAATACCAATCAGACGAACTAGACAAGCCCAGTCAGCGCATCCTTTCGTTGTCAACCTCGAAAGATGTCGAACAGCACTTTATCAAGACTCCTTCATCCATAGAACGGCTAGGCTCTGGAATTCATTGCCTGTGGAAGTATTTCCAACAACATATAATCTCCAGAAGTTCAAAAAACTACCTACCAATACCTACCTCTTGTCCCTATCCTCCCTAGGAACGCACGATGTTCCTTGAACATTATAGGGATTCACTTTCGTGCGCTCCAAGCGATAAAAAAAAATCTATGCATATTTTCGACATTGACACCCTGTATCTCGGAAGTTAGGACATATATGAGATATGCTCATATGCAGTTCAATTCTTGAAATGGGTAGAAAAATCGGCCCCTTGAAAATTAGCATATCATTAAGGGACACCCTGTATATAAAAATGAATGTTTGTCTGAATGTTCTTTATAGAATCGTGAACAAAACACTAAATCTTTTTTTGTCCTGTTTGTTATTGTCATAAGAGAAAAAAATTAGAAATTCAAAATGGCGTTTCCAATGTGGCGGACGAGTTGTAATTATAATCCGATTCCATTCAAAATTGGTATCTGGGAATTTTTGCGGTTGGAGATTATGATTCTTTTGTCAAAATTGGAAAATTCAAGATGGCGGATCCAATAGGCGGACGAGTTTTGTAATTATCTTCCGATTCTATTCAAAATTGGTATCTGGGGGTTTACGGGGACATAAAATTATGATTCTTTCGTCAAAATTAGTGAATTCAAAATGGCGGATCCAATTTAGCGAACGGCTTTTGTAATCATGATCCGATTCTATTCAAAATTGGTACATGGGAGTTTTCAGGGTCGGAAATTATGATTCGTGCGTCAGAATTGGTGAATTCAAGATGGCGGATCCAATATATAGCGGACGATTTTTGTAATTATGATCCGATTCTATTCAAAATTTGTATCTGGGGATTTTCGGGGTCGGAGATTATGAATCTTTCGTCAAAATTGGGTACTTTCAAATATTATAAAAAAAAACTAAAAAAAAACATGCTTTCATAGTTAGTCGAACTGAAAAATAGAAAATGAATAATAGTTTAAAAATCTATAGAATAACGCTTGTATAGATAGCCAAACTGAAACAAAAGGTGAATACAAAATAAAATTGTGTTGACTTAGTTCGGCCATCTATGAAGGCATGTTTCTTTTTTCAACTACTATTTATTCGTTTGAAATTTGAACATTGAAGTCACCAACCTTTCTAAGGTCGCCCCGGTAGTGCCTCAACAAGTGGTTAATAAACTGGAACCCGATAATGACCAGCTCAACCAAGTTGTCGTAGCAGTGCCACTCGGTACCCACTTCGAAATTAATAGTGGTCAGCGACTTGGTGAACTGCTCCATGAGCCGGAAGAAGTCGAAGGGGTAGATGAACCTGGCGTATCCCACCCCCTGGTAGGGGAAGCTCTCCACCCTGGTGCCAGAGGGCACCATGAAGAGGTCGCTGTCGGTGAAGAGTCTCTGGGTCTTGTCCAGGAGAAAACTGGGCGAGTGGTGGGCCCACCGCAATTCCGACAGGAATCCCGGGATATTTTTCAGCAGGCTTATTATCTGTGGGTGGAGACTACTATGAATAGGTTTTTATCATTCGTTCTAACATGAAATCGAAATTTGCCAGCCAAACTTCAGCAGCAGCTTTTAAGATCGAAAATAGAGAGAAAAGCTTTAACGAACATGAGTCGAAAACTATCTCTGAAGGGAGCTACGGCAGCCTGAAAGGGGGCTCCTGAAGATACTATTTCTTGAATATTTACACGAACAGAATCCATGCCCAACGCAGTGATAATAAAAAAATCACTCCAAAATTGTATTCAAGAGTGTATAATACCGGATGGGACTACATTAAATATTGCTAAAACTTATGTAAAAACTTCACAAACGATAAGATTTCCACAAAATTCACAAACACACGACATGTTCCGCTAACACAGTAGCTTCGTCAGGTGATATACTGGTACAATGAACTGAACTAACGTTGGCTTGCTTAACTTTTATATATCTTACTTTCCCAACCTGAAGTATTAGTTACCTGTGGACAGGTACGATAAACCTCAATTTTCGGAAATTAGGCACAATATCTACATTACATTACGGTATACCGGATCAACTTGGAAGAGTTGATATCAAATACATATTATTACTTACTAAGAAAACAAATTCAACAGTGGTGAACTATTTGGGTCTAATAGATCATTAAGTAAAATGTCAAAATTTTTGAGTTCGTTGATTTCTTATGATTCAAAATGATTGAGTTTCAGTCCTTCATTTTCTACGTGCAGAATTTCGAAATTATCATCAAAACTACGGTTTTGTTCTAATATATGGTTGGCGTATGTTGAATTTGTTTTCTTTTTCATAAAATTCATCTTATGTTCATGAATGCGCTGATTAAACGTACGACCTGTCTGACCGATGTATACCTTAGAACAAGATCCACATTTGAGTTTGTATAGCTCTGATTTTTCGAATTTAGAAGTTTTGTCTTTATTATTCTTGATAAACCGTTGTTCTAACTTCACTTTCAAGTCCTGTTTATGTAGAAATTTAATGTAGATATTGTGCCTAATTTCCGAAAATGGAGGTTTATCGTATCTGTCCACAGGTAACTAATCCTTCAGGTTGGGAAAGTAAGATATATATAAAAGTTAAGCAAGCCAACGTTAGTTTAGTTCATTGTACCAGTATATCACCTGACGAAGATACTGTGTTAGCGAAACATGTCGTGTGTTTTGAGAATTTTGTGGAAATCTTATCGTTTGTGAAGTTTTTACATTTGTCATGGATTTCCATCAAGTAACGGCCGAGTCAATTCAAAAAATTGCTAAAACTTTTTTGTATGCAGATTTTTCGACAATTCAATCTCGGATTGTGAAAATGTCAGGTGATAAAATGATGCCATTCGGTACAAGAACTGAAGTGTCCATGCCCAACGCAGTGATGTTAAAAAAATCAATCCAAAATTTTATTCAAGCGTGTATAATACCGGATGGGACTATATTAGATATTGCTAAAACTTTTTTGTATGCAGATTTTTCGACAATTCACACCTCTTTACAGAAAAAAGGGTCTCTTGTTCCGTATCGATTGAATGTATCATTTTCGAGTAAAATCAATTTAAAAATATTGTTACATCTCACATATTATGCATAACAATTTACCAACATAATTCAGAGATTCCCTGATTCAATCCAATGTTTTTGTCGTATCCGAATCAACAACCACCACTCATAACAGAAAACAGGTTATTCATCAGTCTATCATAAATAAATAATAATTAAGGAGCTTTATTGGATACCCAAAAGGCCACCGACCGAGGTCCTTCAGCCTGTGTTACACAGTGATTATACATTGAGTTTAAATTCATCATTATTGTATGTACAAGATATATGGAATTATCAAATTTGCTAGTGTGAAAAAGAAAAAAAAAGGAAATGTCGATTGTGAGGCAAGAATTTTGAAGGAATTTGAGTCTTCCGAATTGAAGCATTCCAATAATGTGTTTTCCGGAAACTTCCGTCTTGGGTTCACTGTTGGATCTCTCTGTAAACACTGGAATTGGATAATTTGGAGATTGGATTCGTTTCAGTCTACCATAATTTTTACATTTTCGAAAAATAGATTCTTAATATCCAGGTATATTTTATATAATATTTTGAAATAATATAAGTAAATTTTTTGCAATCTCAAGTACTGATACAATACTGATGTATATGTGGTTACAGAATGAATGTAAGTGGAATGATCTTTCTGTAGAAAGTCTGGGGGGGGGGGCATTGCTCTCCTGAAATTGAACTTGTTGGTTTGGCGCCCCCTCGCCACGAGAAATACGAGGCACGCGCTTTCCCTATAATCCGCCACTGCCACCCTGAGGATGTTAGTTAGCTGCTGGTGAAGTTTGGCAGGCAAATTTCGGGACACCCTGTATACAGGCTGATTCAAGGTGAATGGTACATTAGACGTTTCTGGAGAACGCAACGTAAGATTATTTCCATAATTCGGTTCCTTGGATTAGTTGTATTCTATCGACCTGAAATATTCTCAGCGCTGCGAAGTTGTCGTTTATATTGAAAAGTAGCAAAAACTTTGATTTTTTCAGTGGGACACCCTGTATATCATTCCGTTGTCAGATTCTCCCTGGAGAACTGATTTCATCGATCCATCACACTAGGGTGTGAAAAATCGAGATTTTTCAACTTTAAGAATTGTTTGTGTCGAAACTATTCATAATTGGTCAAAACGGTTTCCATGTCCCTATCTTAACTTTTCACGTACTATCGATTGATATTTAATTGAAATAGATACAGGGTGGTCAAAAATCTTAATTCTGAACCACCCTGTATCTATTTCAATTAAATATCAATTGATAGTGAATAAAATGTTGGGATAGGGACATGAAAACCGTTTCGACCAATTATGAATAGTTTCGACACAAAAAATTCCTAAAGTTGAAAAATCTCGATTTTTCACATCCTATAACTCTGTAATTATTACTGCTAGACCCCAAGTGTTATAGGTCAATGGAATCAGCTCTTCAGGAAGAATCTGAGAATGGATTAATATACTGATGTCCCATTTGAAAAATCAAAGTTATTGCTACTTTTCAATATAAGCAGCAACGTCGCAACGCTGGGAATATTTTAGGTCGATAGAACACAACTAATTCAAGGCACCAACTTTTCAGAACAATCCTGAGTTGCGTTCTCCAGAAACGCCTAATGTGCCATCCATCGTGAATCAGCCTGTATGTATATTGATTGAAATTATTACATCACCCGGTATCTTCCACAGTTTACCGAAGTCGAGCCAAAACCTAAATATGCATTAGATGACAACCCTCTTGAAAAAGTAGGTAAGAGAGGAAGGGTCTTCCTTAGCAGCCAATTGACCATCACCGGCAAGTAATTTGAATAGATTAATTTTTAATACAGGGTGTCCCAGAATAACGTTCGTATATTCTGAGAGGTAATCATGCAGATAAAATATGAAAAAAAGTTCCTGTCAACATGTGTCCGAAAATGATGCACAAGGGCGCTACAGCCTCTGAAGGTAGTTCTAACGGATAGAAATTTAACGCGAATAAAAATTGACATTGTTGAAATGTGTTGAAATACGATTGGGAACTTCAGAAATATTAGTTATTCAAACATTTATAAATACTCAATCATATATTGGTAATATTCATATTTAGCAATACAAAATTAATTTTCTCAAAATAATCTCTTATCATTTGTGGCTTCTTACTTATTTTTGTAAATATTAATTCGCACTAGAGGACATCTGAAGCGGTGAACGTGACAACACGGCAAACGAATCGTGGGCGTAGTCTTGTCAGGTCTCAGCATTCAGCACAATGTTGCCAAGTCACCAATATTTACATGATATTTTGTTATAGAGTATTAAAAATATTTGGACATGCTAGTTGTTCGAAAAAGTCAAAAATGAACTATAATATCATTGGTTTCTCCTATTATGTTTTATTCAACGATAGGACTCTTACATCTTTTTAATAATTTGATTACAATTGGTGCCTTGACAACCTTGCTTCGTGAGTGGGAATGAAAGATTAGCTGACTAATAACGAAACAGCATAAAAGCTGACGTCACCATTTATTCGACGTATCGCCAAATGGTGGCCATGACGTTACGTTTGAAATGAGCTCCGAAATTCAACAATTTCGAACAACGCATACACTAATTTTTTTACCATAAAAAAGTGTGAGAAATGTAGCAAAAATTAATTTAGGTCCCTAACGACACAGTAGAGTACCTAATTGAATGCCAATAATTCATTATATCAGTCCACTCTACCATTCCAGCCACCCTGTACCTATCATTCATGAATCATAGATATCGCGATTAGATCTAAGAATTACGTCACACTTTTCCAGAATTCTTGATATTTCAAAACACCGCGGTTCCATCTGCTCCCGCAACTCACCTGAACCATTATCTTTCTTACTACTTATCCTAGAATCAGGAAATTTGAAACCTATGGATATTTTTTTGATCTTCCAACTCATTTTGTGGGACGGAAAACATGATTTAATATACAAGGAGGTGCGAAACTCGTAACCAATGCTATAATAATGCCTTTTTTTTGTTCACGATTAACCTCATTTTTAGTACCACAATATGATTCTTCGAACACATTTGCATGAATAAGGCCGTCCTGTTAGAATGCAGTGAAACGAACCGTTTTCGAGAAAAGTGTCATTTCCCATTTTGATGTCCGAAAATTATAATGAATAAGTTTGTGAAATCTCGTCAATTTTCATTGCGGATATATTCTCAACAAATCAACATCCAGAAACAAATGCCCAGATGACAGGAGAATATCAACAAATCATAATTCTCAGATGTCAGAGGATTTGATATCCGAAATGAATTTATTCGAGTGGAGTCATATAACCTGTTTGTGAGAGATATAATTCCCATATTACTGATACGAATGATTTTTTTCAAGTTCCAAGCTCATCAAGATCAGAGTTTATAGAAGTATACTTCTCATATACATTTCAATTTTCATTTCAATACTGAACATATTGGTAAGTTATATTTTTATATCATGATATATCATCATATTATTTTATCCGATTTGAGAGATGTCAATTCTCAATTTCAGAGGATTTTCATGCTATCTTTTTGGATGTTTAACAGATATAATTCAATGTTCGACGTGGCAAATAGCACGGAAAGTAGTTGTTTTCTGTTGAATATTCAGAATGATATTATGTGCATATCTTTATATGAAGGAGAATGCAAATTCTCTACTTCAGAAGATTTTGTTTCCAAATTCTTATCGTGTTCAATAGATTTAATTCAATGTTCGTCGTGGCATATAGCCAGGAAAGTAGTTGTTTTCTGTTGAATAAACCGAGAAAGAATTGATATTTCACATAGAGAATGCGAATTCTCAATGTATTTCTTTATACGTATGCATCCATTTTTGTATGTTCATAATTATATCTGAGAATATTCCTTTTCAATAAAACATTTATGCTGAATGTTATTTAGGGTTTTTTTTGGACGAACACCAGAGGCTAGTTGAGAGATATATAAACATTCACAGACCACCCCTCAAGATTGAATAACAGCACATGATTGGTCAGTTATAATTTAGCACTTGCCATTGCTTCACTAGGTCACATGATACACCCAGGATACAGAAGTAATGTTTCAGACAATAGTTTGAAATTTCGTTTAGATTTTTTTTTATGTTGGTGTGTGACACGTGATGCGGAACGCTGGTAAAAAACATATGTTATTTTGAAATTTTCACTTTCATTATGGGTTGAAGAGATATCAACTACTTGAGTTGATAATTCAATTTGCCATATTTGATCAGAGTCAGTTGTGTCAGTTAGTAGGTCCAGATCCTCTTTCCATTAATTTCCATTCATTTATTATTTATTTATCAAATTAACTTATAACTTAAGAGTGGCTCAAAGTTGAGTAATCACCAATAGTATGAATAACTTTCAAAGTTCAGAGACGTGTGGTATTGTTTTTTTTTTCAATTAGCCATATTTCAGCAGAGTCAGTTGTGTCAGTTAGTAGGTCCAGATCCTCTTTCCATTCATTTCCAATCATTTATTATCCATCTGATAATAAACATAAATAATTCAGCTAAGAAACCAAATACTTTTATTTATAGACCTCCTCATTATTAATTTTCTGGTTTATTTTGAATTAAAAGAAGTCGAAATTCATTAAATTAACTAATAACTTGAGAGTGGCTCGAAGTTGAGTAATCACCAATAGTATGGATAACTTTTAAAGTTCAGAGACGTGCTGAAGTGTGGTATTATTTTTTTTTTTTAGAAAAGAAGAGAAACCCCCAAAAGTTAAGTAGGTCCATTTGAACAATTGATACAAACCGCAAAAAATTACAGGGTGAAATGGAAGACAAATATTCTCATAATAATTGGAGAGGAAAGTAATTTTTTTGCTTGATAATTTGACTAATTGTATCCTCAACATACTAACCGAGTCGTATTTCTCAGGTATAACAATCAGAGCTTTGCACATATCCAGGAAGGGTTCAAAGATGAATGGAAAAGCTTCCATTGACAATTGGAAAATCGGTCCCAAACTTTCCAATATGACCAGACCTTTGCGTTTCAATAATTCAGCCGTCAATTTGCTCACACCCGGTTGTTCCTGGACGAAATTGAAGTCGGCACAAATTTTTGTGAACTCTGTCATCAGTGTGATGACTGCTTCTGCAGTTATTTCACCAATTTTTGTACCCTGAAATTACACATTCAACTTCAGCTATAGTTTACAGGGTTCAGAAGGTTGGTTTTATTAATAAGAAGTAACAACTAGTATGTTTTTTCGACTTTTCAGCATTTTTTTAGACAACAAAATTTTGATTCTTCATGACTTTTCTTGACATTGTTCTTGAGAAAAATGAACTGAGATTGAGAGAACAAAAACCAACAATTTATTCCAAAAAAAAAAAGCAAAATAGGAACAAATCAAGAAACCTAAACATTATGGTTTTCAATAGTTTACATGGAGAATAAAATAAAAATGAAAAGCAGAAAAAATCTACTGGGTGTTATTTTTCGTGTACAAAAATGCAACAACTTGATAACTAACTATTTCCCGACATATGTATACAGGGTATAGAGGTGATTCCTTGTCATATTTTGAAGAAATAGTTCAAATAAATATGTGTATTAATTTGCTCCGTTTTTGAGATACAAGATTTAAAAAGTGATCGATTATTTCATTATCCCCTTATATAAGCTTTCATGATGGCAAAATTCAGTCTGGTTACTGAGCAATCTCAATGGGGATTTTGACAGCACCTACATTGGAATTTGGAGCGATATCGAATTTTTATTGTTTTCCCAAAAACCAAATTAGATACAGAAGTTACATATGGGTCAAGAAAGTTGAATTCCCAATGCACCTGTTTCAGTGAAATTTTTCTTCTTCATTATTTCGGAGTACTATCCCTAACTAATTCACTGTCGCAAATCGTTTTTTCCCCAGAGCGCTGTACATTTTTTAGATAATTATTTAAATTCAAAATATGAACACAACACACAACTGAAGAATGAGGAGAATTATCTTCAAATATTCGCATCATGACTAGATGAAACAAGGATTTGAAATCGAAGATGAAGGTGACAGACGATATTGACGTTAGGAAGTTAGGTTGACAATGTAGTGTAGTTCGTCTGCTTTTTCTCTTCTTGTATCTCTGGGAACTCTAGGCATTACGTTGTTGCCAGGGCCACGATATAATTTGGGTTTAAATGAAATCTCGATCATTATCAGGAAAACTAGGATATTTTTATTAGTACTGAAGCATCTTGCAAGTATATGAGTATTCAATAAGTGATTATTAGGGACCAGGTCGAAAAGCGTTGAAATATGTGGTCCTACTTTTCATGGATAAGCTAGAATTCAGATAATGATGACTTTTGGTTCGGTTCATGACGTCATTGAAGCTGGCGTTTTTGGATGGTGCCGAATTTCATTATTGAAAAAAATATATTTTCGATAATAACGAATGATTGCATCAAATATTATTTATACAGTATAATTCATAAAGTCAGCATCATATGGGAAAAACTTTTATAAATGGCTTATTTCGAAATTTGAGTTGGACGTCAGGTTTTGCTTCAAAAAAGATGAAAAATGGCCTACTCGATCGGGGTCACGTGACTTTCGCTACATGTCAAAAGTGACATTTTTTCAAATTAATCGCTGAAAGTAGGCTTATGTGCTCGAATATCGAAAAAGTTCATTTGAAAAAGTTGTTTCTATTTCAATTTTACATATGTGACTGGGATTTCATCTTTCTATTACATTTTTTAGATTTCGATATTTTTTAAAAATTTTCGAAATTTCTGTAATATTGAAAAAATTGAAAATTCGATATAACCACTTCATACCAGTAGCTTCATCATGCTACTAAGTTTCAATCACTAATTATCACTAATTATCGGCAAAAATATGATTTTCTTCAGAAAATGATAATCTCCGCTTCAAAATTCTGTTATGTTTGATGCAAACGTAACATCAAAATGCTGTTATGTTTGAGTCAAGCATTTAGAAACGAAATTCATTTGAATTTATTTTTTCAGTACTGAAAAGATCAGTTTAAATGAATTTCGTTTCTAAATGCTTGACGATATATTATCAACTTTGCATCAAACATAACAGAAATTGGAAGCGGGTATCATCATTTTCTGAAGAAAATCATATTTTTGTCCATAATCAGTGATAATAAGTAATTGAATGTGGAAAAGCTACTGGTATGAAGTAGTTTCGTGAAATAAACAATTCTTCAGATATTACAGAAATTTTAAAAAATTTAAAAAAAATGAAAAATCTAAAAGTTGCAATTGAAAGATCAAATTCGAGAAGCATGTGTAAAATTGAAATAGAAACAACTTTTTCAAGTAAACTTTTTCGATATTCGAACAAATAAGCCTACTTTCAGCGATTAATTTGAAAAAATGTCACTTTTGACATGTTGCGAAAGTCACGTGACACCGATTGAGTAGGCCATTTTTCATCTTTTTTGAAGCAAAACTCAACGTACAACTCGAATTCCAAAATAAGACATTAATAAAAGTTTTTCCCATATGATGCTGACTTTATGAATGACACTGTACATGGAATGATAAATATAAAATAGGTATGTGGCATAAATTCGACTAGTGTACACAACTATATTGTTCAATTCAATAATAATATGAAACTCAGGATTACCAGTGGTGTACAATGATATTCACCATATACAGGGTGTCCGGAGATAAAACCGACAAGACTTGTGGGGTTAAAGGGACCGTCAATATGATTGCAAAATGCCATAAACCAATGTCCAAAACTGCTTCGTTATTGACATACAGAGTGATTTGTGGATTTTGACAAAAAATTCAACCCGCCATATCAAATAAAGGGATTAACCGATTATATTCAAATTTGGTACACGAATTACACTGAAAAGCATCAACAAGTAGCCCTTTGATCGAAACCAATATCAGGAACGGAATGATATTTTTCCCCTATGTTGAGTTATTGTGAGAATAACTCACCCTGTATAATAATAACAAAAAATTTCAACTCAGATTCGACATCTACGGTAAAAATTGTATAGGAATTTGTTGAAAAATCTCTTGGCACTATCTCAGTTATTCCGTAATTAATTATTATTTTAATTTTTTTCTTTCAAAATTCAATTATTGTCGGATAAAGTACTATCAAAATTGGTAATATAATAAATATTAACAAAACCATGACATGAATATCGTTATTTTCTTCAATCAGTCTGTAAATCGTAGTAGAATAAAATACTCTCATTACCCGAAAAAACTGAAAAATGAATTCGTATCTGATCGCAGATTCGAAATGCACTGAGAAAAGTTAAAAAAAAATGATCGGATTGAACTTTCAAATAATAAATCCGTATCAGTACCTTATAATGTTTGTGTATGAAGAATACTAGGCTTGTGTCAAATTCAGAATTTCATTATGGAAAACCATTGTTCAGCTGTCATCAGCGTTTGTTTTATTGGTGTTCATTCATTATTCCAGTGTTTTTAGGATCAAACTATAGTTCTGAGAGTGTACTTATGATGCCGTTTCATTTCACTTATGAGGAATACGCAGATATTCTATTTGTGTTTGGGCTTTAACTGGTGATGTTTACCTAAATTTCCTGGTCAATACGTGACCGGATCTATTGCAAGGTGTAAATACCTGAGGTACATGGTTTCAGCATGATGGTGATAGACCTCACTTTTCAGTTCCAGTTAGGAACCATCTCGATGCCAATTACCCCAATAGATGGATTGGCCGTGGAGGTTCAGCGAATTGGCCACCGCTATCCCCTGATCTAACTCAGCTAGATTATTTTTTATGAGGTCATTCAAAGTAACAAGTTCATAATGAAGAAATTTTTTATGGGAAATTACTGCTGCATGTATTAGTGTTAGAAATAACCCTCAAATAATTCGCAAGTCAGTGAATCATCTAATAGCACGCTCTCAAAAATGTATTGATGTTGGAGGGCTCTACTTTGAAAATGTTCTGTAATACTGGGTGGTGAAAGTTTTTCACGAATTCGTTGCTTTTGTTATGTTCATTACAATCAGTTATTGTTCGTTGTGTAGTATTCTCATAAATTCGAATTCATTAGTGAGCGAATATAATTTACGAAAACTTCACTGTAATCCTCCTTTAACAGGTTCCTATACGATTATTTTAGATTCCAAATCTACGATCAGATTATTGATAACTATTGATCTACTAGGTCAGCTAACATGAACAAACAAAACACTCATTCCAGTCCTGATACGAATTTATTCTTCAGTTTTTTCGGGTTATGAGAATATTTCATTTTACTCCGATTCATGAACTGATCGAAGAAAATAACGACATTGATGTCATGGTTTCGTAAATATACGTACTTTATCCGACAATGATTGATTTTTCAATATTTAGTTGAAATTTTTGGTTATTATGATACAGGGTGAGTTATCCTAACAATAACTCAACATAGGGGAAAAATATTATTTCCGGTCCTGATATTGGTTTCGATCAAAGGGCTACTTGTTGACGCTTTTCAGTGTAATTCGTGTACCAAATTTGAATCCAATCGGCTAATCCCTGTATTTTATATGGCGGATTGAATTTTTTGTCGAAATCCACAAATCACTCTGTATCTCAGTAACGAAGCCGTTTTGGACATTCGTTTATGGCATTTTGCAATCATGTTGACAGTCCCTATAACCCCATGAGTTTTGTCGGTTTTATCTCCGGACACCCTGTATATTGGTAAGGTAATCCACTGCGACGCTACTTCATGTTACTATCAACAAAGTATCTATAACTGAATATTGATACATGATAAATGAAAAAAAACAACATTCAATACTGGTCGGGATGTAAACACATTGAGACTGGAAAACTGGGATACCGCAACAGAATCGTCTGAATGGTTTTCAGCAAACAATTTAAAACTCAATACAGGAAAAACCAATGAACTATTTTTCTTCAATCATGAACAACAAAGAAGTGTCAAATTATTAGGCATCCACATTGATACAAAATTGAACTGGAAAGATCACATCGGTTACACAGCAATGAAACTGAATAAAGTAGTATACCAAATTAGAAAACTAATTCACCACTGTGGATACTGCACTTACATATTATTATAGTAACTTCTATGCCATTTTTTCTCATGGACTTATATTTTGGGGAAACTCCGTGTGCAGTGACAGAATTTCAAAACTCCAAAAAGAAAGTCGTGAGAGTATTGGAGAACGCTGGTTACCGAGATCATTGCAAACCGTTATTCAAAAAGTTGACTATTCCAACTTAACGAAATATCCTTGAGTTTGAGTCTCAAGCTTTTTAACAAATTACCGATTGTACTGGAGAATACACCGATCAGAAAATTCAAAGCAGCAATTGTGAAAATTTTACTGAACAATGCCTTATCTATTCACATGATGAATTTGTTGACTTCTCCTTTTACGAGACACCATTGTGATTTCTATTTTTTTAAATTGTCAATATATACACATACATACATACAAATCGTGATCGTTTCATATTTTCTGTACACGACAACCTAAAATGTATTCTAAACATCTATAACTGGGGCTAATGAATTATTATTATCATTATTAGTATTATTAGTACGGAAAAAGTTCGAGCGTTGGCTAATGCGACGAGTGGAAAACGATATAATAAGTTTCATTGATATTGAGAAAAATACTTTCGAGATGGTACTTAATAAAAAAACGGTTTTTTATGTAAACATTGATATCCTGTCAAAAACGAAGTAAGTTAGGACAAATGTTTATATGCACTTTCTTCATAAAATATGACAAGGAAGTACCCCTTGAATTTTTTTCGTTCTTATTCATTCACACCATGTATGGAAACTTTCCTCTTTATTCAATGTTCCTAAATTCAACAACCAAAAAAATAAAAGTATAAATTTCACTGCTCCATCAGAAAAATATGTGTCGGGTTATAAGAAACAGACAACACCTCATTTCCAAGAAAAAAAAATGTAAAAAAATACATAACATATGATTTATCTTCTGAACTTTTTTTTTTCACTTGCAAAATATCACTCATGTTGATGCATATTAAATATCTGAGAGCATTTTATCATTTTCTAGAGACTTACCAAGAACATTTTGTGTGTGAGAAATTCATACAAGGAATTGAAAACTTTCTTTTTGGCCAGCTGGAGGATTACTCTGTTGCAGTAATCCATGTGGCTTTCTTTCTCATCACATTCATCAATAGATGTTTTGAGTGCAGCCCACGCAAACAAAATGATACTATTATCACCCTGTATTTGTAACAATTCTAAATTTTTCTCTATATCTGAGGGTAACATCTTGGCCAGGCCTGGTGTATTCCTGATGAATAGGAAATTGAAAAAGCACATAATGATTTAATGTTCATCAATTCAAGTGTTGAAAAATAATTGTGAACAGGGTGTTTCAATAAGAAACAGTAATAGAGGTAGTTTGGTATTCTTTGAAATTATCGAATTCTGGCATGTTCCTATAATTGGATGTTTCCTAGGGAATTGAACATATTAATAATGATGTGGAAAACACATTTCGAATACTATTCATTACAAGAAAACAGGACCACCCTGAATCACAAAATCCTTAAAAAAATCATGCCAGCTACTTATCATTTATTATGATCGATTTGGCTGAAAATTGGTGGGGAGGTACCTTAGATCCAGGAGAAGGTTATCCCGGTAACATTAGGAAATTCAAGATGGCGGATCTGATATATCGGACGAGTTTTGTAATTATGGTCCGATTCTACTCAAAATTGGAATCTGGGGGTTTTCGGGGTCGGGATTATGATTCTTTCGTCAGAATTTGAAAATTCGGGCGGAATTTGGAAATTTAATATGGCGGACGAGTTTTGTAATTATAATCCGATTATGATTCCTTCGTCAAAATCAAGAAATTCAAGATGGCGGATCCAAAATGGCGGATTTTGTAATTAGGATCCGATTTTATTCAAACGTGGTATCTGGTGGTTCTCAGGGTCGGAGATTATGATTATTTCGTCAAAATTAGGAAATTCAAGATTGAGGACCCAATATGGCGGACGAGTATTGAAATTATGATCCGACTCTCTTCAAAATTGTTATCTGGGTATTTTCGGAGTCGCAGATCATGATTCTTTTGTCAAAATTTGGAAGGGGCGGAATTTGGAAATTCAAGATGGCGGAACCAATATGGCGGACGAGTTTTGTAATTATAATCCGATTATGATTCCTTCGTCAAAATCAAAAAATTCAAGATGGCGGATTCAAAATGGCGGATTTTGTAATTAGGATCCGATTTTATTCAAATTTGGTATCTGGTGGTTCTCAGGGTCGGAGATTATGATTATTTCGTCAAAATTAGGAAATTCAAGATTGAGGACCCAATATGGCGGACGAGTATTGAAATTATGATCCGACTCTCTTCAAAATTGTTATCTGGGTATTTTCGGAGTCGCAGATCATGATTCTTTTGTCAAAATTTGGAAGGGGCGGGATTTGGAAATTCAAGACGGTGGAACCAATATACCAGACGAGTTTTGTAATTATAAAACCGATTCTATTCAGAATTTGTAAGTGGGCGTTTTCGGGATCAGAAATTATGATTCCTTCGTCAAAATTAGAGAATTCAAGATGGTAGATCCAATATTGCGGACGAGTTTTGTAATTATGTTCCGATTCTATTCAAAATTTTTATCTGGGGTTTTAGGAGTCGGATATTATGATTCTTTCGTCAAAATTGGGAAATTCAAGTGAACTAAAAAGAAGTTGAAATAAATTGGCGGTTCAAATGGGTGGCTCAGAACTCTAATTTTCCCAGTGGCGTAGAAGTTGGGGAGAAAAACACCCACTACTCCTTTGAAATGTTCACCAACTATGACTTAAAAAGGAAAAGAATTCCGCACAAAACATAGCTTATCCACATAATATGTTCCCTGACAAGGTAATTTCCAATAATACAACAAATACAATGACAGATTCAGATTCCTTGTAAAAAATTGCTTCAAGAAGTGGGACACTCAGAAACGTCTAGGTCTTTTGGTTTCCGCTTGAAAAAATAAAAACGAAAATTATAAATTTTCGTTTTCTTCCAATAATTCAAATAACTAAAAATGACACATCAAATTTTCTTGCAGATAAATGTTCAGCATGGAAATGCGCAACTTTGCCCCGATCAAACTGACCTCATATCTCTTATAATAACTGAGATCCCCATGGTGGAGCTCGAAAAACGGACACCCTGTATATCCAAATCTGATATATAAAATTCTCCTGTCCCTTGTCAGGGTACCAGGGACCAAACTCATCCGAAACGGCTCGACAGATTAGTATGAAAGTTTTTGTGCCTATTTGGTAGTTATGAGAATCGGTCGTAAGCTATTTTTAAATTGAAAATTCAAGATGGCGGATTCAAGATGGCGGATTCAATATGGCGGACGAATTTTCTAATTCGATTTCATTCAAAATTGATACCTGGGGGTTTTCGGGGTCGGAGATTGATTCCTCCATCAAAATTTTGAAATTCGAGATGGCAGATCGAATATGACGGACGAGTTTTTTTATTATAATCCGATTCCATTTAAAATTGGTATCTGGGGGTTTTCGGAGTCGGAGAGCATGATTCTTTCATAAAAATTTGAAAATTCAAGATGGCGAACGAGTTTTTTAGCTATGTTCCGATTCTATTCTAAATTTGTATCTGAGTATTTTTGGAGACGGACATTATAATTCGTTCATCAAAATTCGGAAATTCGAAATGGCGGATCCAATATGGCGGACGAGTTTTGTGATTACAATCCAATTCTATTGAAGATTTGCATCTGGGGGTTTAAGGGGTCGGAGATAATGATTTTTTTTCTTCAAAATTAGAAAATTCAAGATGGTGGATTCAATACGGCAAAAGAGCTTTAGGATGAATAGTAGTTTAAAAAATTATAATGAAACATGCTTTTGTAGATAGCCAAACTCAAAGTCAAATTAAATAGAAGTATAAAATAGATAGTATAAAATTGATAGCGAGATTGATAGTATAATTTAAAAAACTGAAGAGATGGATTGTCAAACTGAAAACAAGTAGAGAATAAATTAATAGTAGCTTGAAAAACTGAGGAAACACATTTTTATGGATAGCCAAACAAAGAAGAAGTAAAAAACAAAACTATAAAAGTGTGTTGATAAATATTCAAGGTAAAAAAATATTTTCTAGAAATAAATGAAGATATATAGCAAAACATTTGCCAGGTCAGCTATTGTAATAATTAGTTGTTTGAAAAAACTACTGGAACATGCTACTATAGATATCCAAACTAAATAACTAAAAAGAAGTAGAAAATATATAGAATAGTTTGAAAAACTAAAGAAACATGCCTTTATGGATAGCCAAACTCGAGGCCAAACTAAAAATGAAAAGATAGATAATATGATAAAAGTGTGCTGAGAAATATTTAACAAAGGTATTTTATATAAATAATGTTTATGGCAGAACAATGTTTGCTGGGTCAGCTAATATAGTATATATAGAACCACCTCTCTCACTGGTAATGTATCTATGTGTCTCATTGAAACACCCTGTAAGTATATGATCTAATATGGGTTATCTAATCATTACAATAAAACATACCTTCAACCTACCAGTAAATTTTCATGATTGTTAATATTAGGGAAATTTCAGAATTTTTAATTTCAATCAAATCTGTTTTTCTGGACACAGTCACACTTTCATGAAACAAAGGGTGCCTGGTGAATCCATGCCTGATGAAAAGGGTCAACATATCTGCTAATTCTGAACCATCAGGTTTGAGGTATTCAAAAGTGTGCAATAATAAAATAGCCACTTCTGCTTGTTCCCTGTTATTTCTATGTATCCATTGAACCAACAATTTATCAGATACTGTTTGGGATTTGTCTCTGTCTATTTCATCTAGGAGATTTTTGAACACAGCCTTCAGATTCTTCCACAGTAGACTGAAGTCAAGAGACTTGGTAAAGGAATTGAATTCATTGTAGTAGACATGTTTTTTATCAGAAACACTTTCAAATATGTGCCTCAAAGTCTTCAATAAGAACATACGATCTGCTGTATAGAAATACCAAACATTTTCTGTCAAATATTCAACTTTTGAATCAAATTTGATCAATGTTTTCAGTTCATCAACTCTTCCATAGTACTCAAACATCAAGAAATTGCATGTTACTGTCCATGCTACAGAGACATCAAGATCCTGAAATAAATATGTAAAGATATTCATGCAAAACCTCAAGGATGATTAGGATGAGACTAGACATTTGGTAATTTTCTGGAAGGTTTGTAGGGAAAGAAATGAGTTCATTATACTCTCAATCACTACAAGAGTAACATGCAAAACACTTACAAGTTCTCTGCTCAACAAATGTATGAAATTGCACATTTCATCATCAGACAATATATCTTTGAGTCCAGATTCCGATTTCCATGATTTGAAACTCTCTTTAGAATAGCTTTTGAACTGGAGGAGTACTTCTATTATTTGTTCCTTGCAGAGTTTCAATGTATCCTCCACAGCATTAGGTGAAATATTTTCACTGTTTCCATTTATTACTGAGTAAATCCGCTTCCAAACTCTGGAATAACAAATCATCATTGCTACGAAACTTAAGGCAAAAATGGTTATGGAATACTTACGGAAATGGATCAGAATCATTAGCCATTTCTACTAAATAAAAATATTATGATACCATTCGGATTTCAATGATATAACCTCAACATCTCACCAGTCACTCTACCAGAAATATTTCAAAAACTATGGAACACAGATCACAAGATTAAAAGGGCAAACTACACACTCACACTACACTAGACTACACTCAGAATGCACTGCACTGTCAAGAACTCTTGGACAAGTTGGACACTCCACTGCATAGAGTGCATAGTGTACTTGTCCTGCAATTGTTTTTGGGCAAAACAGCCTCCATCAATGGAACTAACTTTAATTTTATGATTTGGAATCTGGATATCTCACTGGATATCAATGATTATGAGGAAGAGGAATTATAAGGAGTTCATATGTTCACAAATAAAATAATATGAATCTTCAGATGATATGGTGAATTCATGAAAAAGATATGGAAAAGCCGAAAAAAAGGGCCAGCCGAGGCGTTAACAGAAAAAGTAGAGGCAGTGTACTGCTCTGCAAGATATTGCAAGAACATGTCAAAGTGTTTTTTCAGATTCCCCAAAGATAGGAGAAGGTTTAGGATCAACAAATTGTATGACCAGGTATGATTGCTAATTTTTCAGGGCTACGTTATGGGCTCGGTTATGGGCTATAGCTTGATGCAGAGAAGATCTAAAACATATAAACCTAAACGCTTGTCGCTTACATAAATCCCATAGAATGTGTGATGGGTCCCACTTCGAATTGAAAATGTTCAAAAATGGCTAATCTATCAGAATTCAGGATCAAACTGCAGCCTAATGCTGTTCCAACTATATTTCCATGTCTAGATGGATCAATGGTATCATATTCATCCTCATCATACTTATTATTTGAGCACAATTTATAGCATGTTGTCCCTGTTATTCTTGACAACTTCTACTGATTGTGAGGCCTATAAGTCGGCTCTATCAGATAGCAGTGCTAAAAAAGGTGAGTGTACTTGAAATATCCACCTAAGTTCAGGAAAAATTGCATTTTTTTTTCCTATCCCCTGAAGAAAAATCGAGATTTCTCATCATATAATAATATCATATCTTTCTTCTACTAGGAATTGGTTCACTTGATTGATGATGATATAGGCCTTTTCATATAGATATATTTTCAAGACGCATGCGCTCGTTTTTAGATCCAAAATTTGATTGGGTAATGCGAAGGTGAAGTCTCATTGGCTATAGTTCCGACACAAAATTCTGATTGACCATTTCGAATATGACGGTTTTTATTAACGTTATTGACGTTCTGTCAAATGCCAACAGTGGCAACCACTATGGGCATTCGACATTGAGGAACAACAATAATAATATAGTATTTTCGTTACTACAGAGTGACCCATTTGAAAGCGGGCCACCCCTGTATCTCACGTAATCGTTGGGTAAGGATCATGAAATTTGCTGGAGCGAGAGATATACAAAAAATGCACTCTATGACCAAGTGGGGTCATCTTCAGTGATATACACTGCTAGCCAACAGCCATGGAACCACCCCAATTTCCGGAAAATGATATTAGGAGTCAAAATAGGTTGAAAATCACTTCGGATTCGGAATCAGGACGCCCAATTCACTAACTCTTCATATTTTTCCTTGAAAATTTTTAGTTCTGAAAAATTAAATTTTGTCGCACTTTTCACGGAAGCACCCCCGTATCTCACGTAATTGACTTCATCTTTGGATTTTCCGTTCCTCCTGCAAATTTTATAACCCTACCACAATAATTACGTGAGATACGGGGGTGCGCTTCCATGAAAAGTGCGACAAAATGTAATGTTTCAAAACTGAAAATTTTCAAGGAAAAATATGAATAGTTAGTGAATTGGGCGTCCTGATTCCGAATCCGAAGTGATTTTCAACCTATTTTGACTCCTAATATCATTTTCAGGAAATTGGGGTGGTTCCATGGCTGTTGGCGAGCAGTGTATATCACTGAAGATGACCCCACTTGGTTATAGAGTGCATTTTTGGTATATCTCTCGCTCCAGCAAATTCCATGATCCTTAGCCAACGATTACGTAAGATACAGGGGTGGTCCGCTTTCAAATGGGTCACTCTGTATATTACTGGTGTGTATTAATTGTAATATAATAATAATTTAAATCGAAAAACGTTACTCATTCGTTGCTGAAGAGTGTAGTACAAGTGTTTCGGTGATAATGGCCTTCACTGTAGTTGGATGCGAAATGTAAACACAGATAGTCATTTGTCATCTAAATGAGAAGGCCTATTGTTAATACTCTTCGTCTTTCCTTCTTCTTTGTTCTCATCATAGAATAATTGTGTTTTTGAAATTAGAATACTTGTGAGAGCATTTTTTGTTTTGACCAATTCAATGATTATAATCAATATTAGTCAGCCATTTGGATCATCTATCTGCATCAGTGTCTTTTTATGTCTTGAAATGTAGGAATGTAAAAAAAATTGTGAAACAAAATGTAAACACTTGTAAATTCTTGTATAAGAAGAAAAGAAAATATACTTTATTGGTCAAATAATGGAAGTAAGTTATGGTGTGCGTATTCGGCCATTATTACGTATTGAAAATTTCAGAAACATCAATCGACCGGCCTACTATGATTTCTCTACGTCACAACCAGCGAGACGTTGATTCTACATTTTCCCGCTAGATGGTGATGCTGCTATTGCTGCTGTGACGAGTGGAAATAAAATGGCAAATGCCATTTTAGATACGCGTAACATATGTAACAGTGGGATTCAACAACTCTGAATTAAAAAATCTGCGACAATTTCAAAACTGACAGAAGTCATAATTGTGCAATGTCGCCATCTATTAGAAGATCAACAGAACCATTGCTCTTGCTGCTCTCGAGAGGTCGAGTAAAATTTCTGAAACAAAAGCGCATCAGTTATACCGTATCTTACTTCCATCATTATTGGTCATAAAATGAAAAAAAAAAAATTCATCATACTAAATGGCTAAGGACCAAAGTCTTCCTGCCAGTATATACAGAACTTTTATGCATTTTAGAATGTATGTACCTCTTTGAAGTGATTTTACAAATTCAAATGAAAAGAAAGGGCATATAATAGAATATTATTTATCTATTGGTTCACCAAGTGAATTATATAAGCTGAATGCTGAGTTCTGGATATTTGGGTTTTGTGGGCATTAGCATTAATGCATTTGTTTGGTGAATAAGGGGCTGTATAAGGGTGACATTTTGTTGTTTGTCCGCAAAATTTCTTTTTTGATAGAGAAAAATGTTGGAAGTGTTGTGGGGAGGATTTGCTAGGTGCATTATTCTGGTTTCTAGTGATGGTTCTTGTTGTATAATGATAAAATAAGAAGATGACCTGTCATATGTCAGGACATGACGACTGTCAACAGGTTTTCCGGTATGTGTCTGATTTATAAAATGTCTAGTACTAGCATGTGACGATATAAATGTTAAATGTTTAATGTAATAAAACCAGACTCCAGTTATATTTATTTATTCATTTGAATACACAACAGTTCTTGTAAGCTCCTTTCTCCCACTTCCGAATTCCGCTGCGTTGGTTTCCTGCAGTTATTTAGAATTATATGTCCGTATTCCAGTACCGGTCGACAGATCATTTTGTATATCTTGCAAGATGTAACTGGTATTTATTCCTTGATGTTGGTATGTCAAGGCTCTGAAATGTTTTGTTGCTTCCTTTTCTGTTCCTGTCGTATGGGCTTTGAAATTCAATTTACTGTCTATAGTCATATTGCCAAAGACACAAAGGCTGTGCCAGAGTGTCGGCATCTGCGGAGTTCTACAATTTCGAGCGACTTTTGTCTTTTGTGCTATGCACTTTTGACTTTTGTTTTGCTCAAAACTAGTCTATAGTCATGCCTAGATATTTGCAAGGTGGTATTGTTTGTAGTTGGGTTATATCTGAAGAGGTGTTCTTGATTTTATGGTGGAATATCATCATTGGGGATTTGGTATAATTCGCCATTTTTGCATTCAGTGTGTGGTGTTGGTTGTCATATGTTGCAGTGTTCTTATGTTTTTTTGCAATATGACTTACCTTACCATGTGCTACTAGTGTAGTATCATCGGCAAATTGAAGTAGATATGCTTCTGGATTGATATGATTTGGATTTTGTAGATTGTGGTTGTATGTCAGAACAGTATATGTTGCACAATGTCGGTGACAGGGGTGAACCCTGTGGTAATCCTCGTGTTGGTGTAATCCTCTCGGAGAAACTGCTTTTGAAATTGACTTGAAGGGTCCACTCATTACGAAGGTTTCTAAGCATCCAAAGAATATACAAGGCACATTGTCACAGAAATTGTCAGAAATCCAACGTCTTTCACAATTACAATGTTGAAGCAGTTTATTAAAGACTAGCTGTCCGGCTCGGCTTCGCACGGTTTCACATGTATTGCATAGGAGAAGTCCTCCGAACAACAAACGATCGAAGGAAAAATCAATTTCATTAGTTTAGGAAAGATACAGGTCAGAGATTCGAAGTGACCGCCAAAGCTAGAATCGTTTTGTGTCGAAAGTCATGGTTGTTTGAATTCTTGTGTGTTTCTGTGTTTGATTTGATGATCTGTGATTTGGATTTCAATATTTGATTTCTTGAAATTATTGATTGCCTGATGAGTAGGCTCTGGCTTTGGAGTAGACATAAATTACCCTCGGGTGGCTGGGCGGACAAAGAGTGAGAATTCTGCGTCGCCAGAGACGTACCAGAAAATAACTGTTTGTAAATGAGTATGCGAAATTGCTGCTGCTGGGTAATGATACGAAATTAAATGTTGGGCAGCCTCGAGTCTGGGCGGACAAAGAGTGAGTATAATTCGGCGTCGCCAGAGGCGTACCAGAAAGTCACAGTTCGGAAATGGGACGTAGGAAAGTATTTGATATTGATAAGAAGAACAGGAAGAACCCCTGGGCAGCATCGGGTGGTTGGGTGGACGAGAAGTGAAAATTCTGCGTCGTGAAAACGTACCAGGAAAATCACTGTTTGAAAGGAATGTAGGGGAATTTATTGATGTCAGGAAG